ATTTTTGTAAAGAGACAAAAGAATGCTAGGTTTACCTGTACGTTGTTGTTAGATGTGTATTGTGGTGTAATGGTCAGACGAGATGGCGTCTATGTTTAAAAATATCCCTGTTTACCATGTTTGGATTTTGTAAAGGAGCCTTAATTTAACTTCCTTGTTTTCATTTCATTTTCTTGAACAAGAAGTTGTAAACATTACACAGGTAAACTGCATATGTATTATGTGTTACGCATATGCACACGGCGCATTTTGGCGTAAGATTAGCCTATAGAGTTTATTGTTGTTTAAGCTTTATAGCGTGAATCTTTTTCACAATAGACAACTGGGACATTTCACAACCCTTTGTGTCGGTCGTTATTCTTGCAGTGATCTGTAAACCATAACAGCCAATTGCATGCATTTCTTTTTGTATGTGGTTTGAAAAGGGGGCCAACCAACGCTCGCGCTCTATTTTTGAAATCTGTCAGTTAGCACGCTGGGTTGTGTAACTTGCATTCTACAGTTCTCCTGGACACAAAGCAACACGCTAGGACTTAGTGAGAGACTGGAAAATTTGTCTACATCAACACCGAGGAATATCGACATGGCGTCATTCTACGTTCAAGGGGGATAGGAGGCCATGATGCTACTTTCCATTACAAAAGGTATATTTGAGGTGTGGCCGGGTGTGTCGGCTGGGCTCGCGCATGCGCATTTGGTTTCACCAAGTGGGGGAGATAATTACGATAATTGCCGCTAAATTATGCATAAGTCATTCGTGGAACAAAGGCAAACACCTGAAGTTTCCATACGTGTACACAGATATCCCGACCACGTGCACGCAAATTTCCACCATAGGACACGAAATGGAAATCTGAGCGGTCCGTTTCCCACGTTTTCCACAAGTTTCCCACAGCGGACACGCCACGTGTGCACCTTGGACATCAGTGGAAACTCGCGGAAACTTCGGATTTCCTAGTGAGTATACACAGATATCCTATTCCACGAGGGAAATCTCGGTTTTCGTCTGGTGTATACAGTTTAGTTTATAGGTAATAGGTTTAGCTTACCATCACAGGAAACTCCGTCATTGTTGAATTTGTAGCCAGTATAACAGGAACATGAGAAGCTGCCGACAGTATTGGTGCAGTTCTGTGCACATCCACCGTTTCCTGTGGCACACTCGTCTACATCTGCAGAAATGTGACATATGTTATTGAAAACGACAGGACCATTGGCAGATATTCGTAATGTAAATGAAGGCCTAATTTGCATAATTAACGGGGAATTCCCAAAAAGTTTATAGCGGTATCTGCTGGGAATTTAGTATTTGGAAATTCAGTAAAGATGAATCATAAACATAATTGATTCAAATTAGGACGCCATTTGCATAATTTATGAGGGAATGCTAGAATAGCCTTATTTCTTAAAAACAGACTGTTATTGGGTAGAGAATATGAGCAACTGATATCTTTCAAGCAAATGAGGCTATTATAAATTGCATAATCACCATAAAATGTATCATTAGTCAGACTGAGTTTAAATGGTTAACATGATTTGGCGAAGGTAAAAAAAAACTTGGAACTCTTGTGTATGAAACCATTGAAAATTAGTAGCTAATAGCTAGCTTGCACACAAACAACAATTTTATAGTTTGACTTAATGATGAAATGAAACCTTGCCAAAGCTTACAAATAAACTATGTATGATTTTAGATGAGAAACTGTACATGAAGTAGATAAAATCATTACATTTCCATGATCAATCAACGAGAAAAAAAAAACCAAAATTAAAAAAAAAAACATCTTTATGGTATGAGGTCTCCGAATTCATGTTTTCTTTTGTTTATTGTTTTAAAATTTTGTAAAAAAAAAAAGAGGAAAACAAACTCTCTTAATGACGGATTGATTTTCTCTGAAACTTACCTGTTTCACAGATGTACCGCATGCTCGTACTACAATCCATGTCGGCCCACTTATTTCTGCGTTCACTATTGGAGTTTGTTTCTTGCACAAGATGTGAACAGAGTTTTTCAGGTTTATCGGGCTCCCCTGGAGCCCAGGCTGCAAATTCACCAAGCGCGGTACCCTGGCCGTCGACCCACGTCCCGTTCGGTCTACTGAGTCCCAGCCAAAACCTAGCGTATCTGTAATATTCAGGAAGAAATGACCTGTTCACACCTAT